AAATGGTTCTAATATTTTGGTTCTATTGTATTGGGCCACAATCTTGATAGTATTGTTTATCGTGATTCTATTTTAGATATTCTCATAGATCTGTAAATTTTTTGTATATGGGGGCATCCCTTTGGTGCCGACGTATCAATACATCTCATACTTTTATCTCAAAAAATATATATATATATTCTTTTTTCTTTTTGCTTGGAAACCAATTAAATTGAGCACATAGCTCTGAGGTGGCTTGAATCCTAGCTCTCTTGAAGAGACGGGGAGTTACCAGTCAACCCTACTTAAGGTAGTCAGTTCCCCTTTTACATTATTCAATACATCACTATTTAGCCCCAAAGAAAACCAAATGTAAAAAACTCATTGGAACATGGATTTTAATTCTGGGGCTTTCTACATGCAGGTCCTTCAATATCTTATAGTTCAGGAATGGTGTGTATACTTGAAAGGAGAAATGAAGTTTTTAGTTAACAAGCTTGTCTATACTTTGAGATGACTAACCTAAATTTTTTAAAACGAAAAGTACTAATATTGTAAAATAATTCAGTTAAGTTGTTTATTCTCGTAAAACTCTGAGTTAAAAAGAAATGTCTAATTAATTATTTCATATTAGACTCATCCTAACCCTCTCACCATATGAGCTAATTCCCAACAAGATAAGAAAGCCCAACAGTAAGCAATTTGTCTGCAAACTCAAAGGAAATTGACAGTTTTTACACTCAAAGGCTTAAGTGAAGGTACTAGATTCCAAGAGTGAAAGTTGTTGAAGTGACTTTGGTTATTTTGGTTCTGATATCATGTGAAATAATTTGGTTTAATGACCAATTGTCCCGAAATTTAACTGATAAAAAAAGATTGACTTCATTGTTTTATAAAAGTATATTGTTCATGTTATTTAAAAAAAAAAATATTGTACATGTTGCAAATTTTAACATTTAGATGTTGACAGGTGAGGCAACTTTTGGCTGTTGATGGGAGGCTCCACATTAATTATGAGATTGCTCCAACTGGAAGTTCTCAGAACTACACTCGTTCCTATTACATGAATGGAAGGGACTATATAATCAGTGGCAGTTGTGATGAGCATGTAGTCCGTGTTTGCTGTGCTCAAACTGGAAGACGTCTCAGGGATATATCTTTGGAGGTACTTGAACCTTCTGATATGCATATTTTATGCCCACCTACTGTCTAGACTGATCTGTCAAATGTAGTTCGTGATATCAGACAAGTATGGAACTAGAGTTGTCCTACAACACAGAGAAATAGAGTAAAAATATGAGGGAAATAGAAGAATAGATAGATAGAGGAAATCAGGCCATAAAGGCAAAAACTTTAGAGAGAGAATAAGAATATTAGGCAAGTATGAAGAACAGGAGAGACAAAGGAGATCTTGGATCTCATGAATCAATATAATAACTCATTATTTGAATAGCAATCATGAATAATCTACTTAATAACTAAGTTAGAGTACCTTATTTATAGGCATTAAAGTATAATTAGAATAAGAAATTTAGAAAAATAGGAAAATAAGCTAAATAATTGACTAACATATAATACATAGAAAATAACTTAATAATATATAAACATTAAAATTACATCAATAATGTCTTATTATAGAAATATGTCCACTTTAGGATCTTCCCGTTCTGCAT